CCACGCCCCTCTCTGCCCACAGGACTCGCTGGATCTTTCCAGCACTTTTGTGTCTCTAGCTTTGCGCAAGGTTGGGGATTGGCCCCCTCGTGCCCGGAGAGACAAAAGGCTGAGCCAGGACCCCCCAGGCAGGAGCCAGGACCCCCAGGGGAAGAGGGGCCATGAGGAAGGGAGTCCTCCAAGAGAAGAGAGCCCTAGTCAGAGTCCGAAGGTTGAGGTAAGGAGTGTGGGAGGTCCTCATATGACCAGCGGAATGGGTATCAGCAGTCCCTGGGAGGTCACGTGATGGGGAAGGGCCAAGAGAGCATGCGTGCGGGTTCTATGTCCCTCGGATCAAGTGACTGACAGGCTCTGTGACTGTCACCCAAGGCAGGGATGTGGTGAGATGGGAGACATGGTGCGAACAAAGGAGCAGGAGCCCGGGCCCTGCTTGACTTTGTCCCCCATCCCTAGGTGTCTGCAGGACTGCTGGCAGCTGCCTCACAGCAGAGCCAGGAGCTAGCAAGTGAGACTCCTTCTCGGCCCCTCACCCTGCCCTCCCGAGGGTGGCCCCTTGTGAACCTTCCCTCTCTTTCTTGCCCAGACTTGGGAACCCACTTTGCCCAAAATGGCTTCTACCGTGAGGCCGTGGTCCTCTTTACCCAGGCCTTGAAGCTCAACCCCCAGGACCACCGGTAGGTGCGGAGCCGGCTGCGCTGCTGGGAGCTAAGAGCAGGCGAGGTGTTCCGGACACTGACTTTGGGCCACTTTCTGGCAGGTTATTTGGAAACCGTTCCTTCTGCCATGAGCGGCTGGGTCAGCCGGCGTGGGCACTGGCGGATGCCCAGGTGGCTCTTACCCTTCGTCCAGGCTGGCCCCGAGGCCTCTTCCGCCTGGGCAAGGCTCTGATGGGGCTGCAGGTAAGTGTGGGAGGGACCTGGCAAGGAGGGGCCACACGGGCTCTGCAGGGACAGGTTTTCTCGCATCACAGTGTGCCGTCCTGGGAGCTGGGGCCAGTTGGGACAAGAGCAGCTGTATCTTCCTCATCCCCTGGACACTTAAAACTCTTCTTTCCAATCCCTCATGGACCAAAGCGCTTTGAGGAGGCAGCTGCCGTGTTCCTGGAGACTTTGAGAGGCGGGTCCCAGCCGGACGCAGCCCGGGAGCTCCACTCTTGCCTTTGCCACCTCGCCCTGGTAAGAGAGCCAGGCCCACTCCTGTGCTGAGGCAGCGTGGCAGGGAGGAGCAGCCAGGGTGGCGGTGCCAGGCAGGGCTGCCTTCTCCTTCAGATGTGAGAGGGAGGGCAGGCATCAGTGGGACTAGGGACCCGGGCTATGCTGCTTGAAAAGATCACTGTATGTCCTTTGCTCTCTCTGCACCCTCCTCCCCCACCTCCGCAGGAGGATAAGCGGAAAGGAATGTGTGTCCCACCACTGTCGGCTTGGTTCTCACCGCCATGCACCCATGCCAAGCCAGAGCCCCCAGGCCTACTGCCCCTCAGTCCCGCTGGAACCACATCTCCCAGGACCCATGGCCTTCTGCCTCCCCCCACAAATTATCTTCCATGTCACCCAAGCCACCCCAATGGCCCCCTCTCCCAGGCGCAGAGTAGAGGAACCCCTCCTCTCTATCTCCATGACCCCGAAAAGGGCTGGCGTGGGAGCCCCCATCAACCACAGACCAGGTGAGAGAAGATCTGCTTATGCGGTAGGGCCCTGGGACACCGTGTGGTGCCAGCTCACTGCGGCCTCTGACGCCTTGCATTCTCACCCCAGAGAAAAGGGCTCCTCTGGCAGCACAGAACCTCTTGGTGAGGGAGGGGGAGCCCCACATCCACTGAAACAGCCGTTTCAGGTTCTCAAGGAAATGGTTTCCTCTAAAGGGGAGTAGGAAAACAGAACAAAACACAAACTCAAGAAGGGAGTTTTTTACCTATAAAAAGACCAGCAAAGAGGCATCTTGGGGCTGGCTCCACGTGGTGGTCCCAGGGACTACATCCACCGGCTGGAGCTGGATGCTCAGGAACAGGCTCACAGAGAGGCCCGAGGCCTGCCCCTCAGCTGGATGGACACCCACCCTCTTCCTGACCCCAGTGCTTGCTGGGGGGTTCTCAACCCCAGTCAGCTCCTGGCTCCTCGTGCCTTGTTGCGTGTCTGCATTGCTGGGCACCCTCTGGACTGATGTCTCCTTCCTCCCAGGGAGCAGACAGCCCATACATCATATTCCCCACTGCTGGCTGTCCCTCAGGAAGGGCTCAAGCAGGTGTCCAAGCTGCTGCCACACCCTCCCACTCTCCTCCCCGCGTGGGAGAAGTGCCCTGGGTGTCCTCGTGGCCTGTGGATTTCCCCTGTGTGCATTCGCTTCCAGGTTTACCATCAATGACCACCACGCCAACGCAGCCTCTCCCTTTCCACGGCCTGTCTGAAATGCCTGCTCCCCATTTGCTTCTCCTCCGAGATCCTGGCAGTGACCCTGGACTGGTTTCTGCCTCTCAGCCGGTCTGGGCCTCTCAGCTCACTGATGTGTGACCCATGCAGAGACTTTGAAGCCTTCCCAGAATGCCTTTTCCAGAAAAGCCATTTATCAGGGTCAATGCCAATGCTTCTCACTCCCTGGGGGGTCTCCCGCAACACTGTTCACCTTAGGGAGAGAGTGGAGAAGCCTGTCCTTCAGATAAGACGTTGCTAAGTTCTCTGTATTGATACAGGCCTAAATTCTAAATTCTTATGGTACAGGCCTTCTAAATACTGTGTGGCAGGCCAGCTGCCAGCTTTGCCCCCTGTGGGCAGATGTCTTAACACCTGCGCCTCAATTCCTTCATCCGTAACACGGTCAGTACCTACCTCACAGGGCTGTTGTGAGGATTGCCAATGGAAGGGCGAGGAAGAGCAGACCTGCTCCCAGTACCCCGTGGGCACTGAATAAACCTGGCTATGGCCTGCAGCTGCCTCCATGCTCATTGTTCCCGCAGCAGCAAGACGAGGAGATGAGTGAAGTGCTGCTGAAATTCACCCACTACCGAGTTCCCAGAGCCGCTGCTCTCACAAAGGGGTCCCTGGGTGCAGAGTACCAGCATAACCAAGGAAGCTGTTGCCAACGCAAATTGGCAGGGCCCACCCCAGACCTCCTAAATGAAAAAGCAGGGCTCGGAAAATGTTCAGTGAGCTGTCTGGGCTATTCTGATATACCCGTGTCTAAGATCCCTTGCTCTGTGGAGGACCAAACAGGAGACTTCCAATCAGAGGCCATTTGGGCGGAACCGGTTTTAGTTTTGTTTCTCCAGTGCTGGGTCTGAGATCAGCTGGGGCCTGGCTACCACAACTGACCATTGTGATTAGCATTGCAATAGAGCAGCGGTTCTGAACCTGTGGGTCAAGACCCCTTTGAGGGTCAAACAACCCTTTCATAGGGGTCGCCCAATTCATCACAGCAGCAAAATTACAGTTATGAAGTAGCAACGAAAATAATTTTATAGTTGGAGGGTCACCACAACATAAGGGACTGTATTAAAGGGTCACGGCATTAGGAAGGTTGAGAACCACTGCCCTAGAGGGACCAGATAAAATGGGGGAGACACCGAGCAGAACTCCAATTGAAAAAAAAAAACCCACACAGCCAGACACAACTCCAGGTGAGAGACTAGGAGTCCTTGAGACCCTGCTATCCCCAGGTCACCTTTAGTGACAGAACAGGATGACACCCACAATCAGGGCTGCCTCCTGGAAAATCGTCTCCAGGGGCCTCCGTGGGTGGAGCAGCTCAATAGTGACTCTGAGGGGGCCAGGGAAACGAGGATATTCAAACCCACAAAATCTCAGACACATTGTGGAAATTAACGTGTGTCTCAGGATGTGTGTAGAGATCGCCAAAGGGGAGCATGATTTGTAGTGTACACTTTCACCAAAAACATACCCTTTCAAAAAAAGGCAGTGCTGGACTAGAATGCTGGAAACTTCCAATGGAGAGAGTTATGGTTCAGAGTCCGTGAACTTGACCTCACTTTCCTAAGTAGAATGATATCATTAGAGAATTCTTTGCTTTGCCCTGGTGGTACTGTGAAGTGGAGGAGTTTGTGACCCTCTAAGAGGCCAGTTATCCATAAAGCCGGCATTGACCTATTTTTATTTTCTAGAGAGGGTCCAAATCCTCCTCAGTCTGTCTTATTCTGGAAGCGTCACAGAAACCTATCCAGTCTGCATGACCCTGCTAGTATTTAAAATACCAGCGGCATAGCTTTCAGCACACAAGCCACCAGAGTGGGACAGACGAGTGGTGGCAGTGTCCTCTCACCACACTTACTCATTCTCTACGCTGAGCAAATAATCTGAGAAGCTGGACTGTGTGGAGACTTTCTGGGGGAAGCTCTCATTAACCCGTGATACGCGGACAACACAGCCATGCTTGCTGAAAGGGAAGAAGACTGAAACACTCATGAAGATCAAAGACTTCAGGGTGAATCACACCTGAAAGCGAAGATCCTCACAACTGGACCAATAAGCAACATCGTGATAAAGAAGAAAAGAAGCTACCAAGGATTTCATTTCACCTGGGTTCACTAGGCTCCTGGCAGCAGCAGCCAAACACACACACAAGATAGAGTGCTCTGGGCCAGTCTGCCCCATTGTCAGTGAGCAAAGATAGCACTTTGGGAAATGAGGTGAGATGGAGCAAAGCCCTTGTATTTTCCAGTGCCCCCAGGCCTGGGAAAGCTGCAGAATGAATTAGGAAGCTTGAAGAAGAATTGATGGGTCTCAGTTAAGGTGCTAGTAAAGACTCCTGAGTACACCAGGGACTGCCAGAGAGTGAACAAATTGGTGTTGAAAGACATGTGGCCAGGATGTGCCTCTGGCTGTACTTGGGGCATGTTATAAAGGGGAACCAGTTTCTTGGGGAAAGACACTGTGTCCTAAACAACAGGTTGTAATGCTGTGTCGTGATGTGTTATATTCATGCTTGTGGTTATTAGCGGATTCAGGAGGAGGCAGGATTAGTGCAGGTTGTATCTTGAGTCCCTCAAGCTGCAGGCAAGCGGGCAAGCCAGGAGAGCTAGGGAACAACGGCACAGACCAAGCTGCAGGAGGTTGGCTCAGGAGAGGAAGTCCAGAAGAGACAAGGAACTGCCTCCCTGGATTCAAACTGCACGTCTCCTGAAAGGTAAGAAAATAAATTCCTGTGTGTGTCAAGGCCACCCATTATGGGAGATAACTAAGGCAGACATAATGCATGATGAAGTCGAAGGTTGGCCTAAGAAGGGAACATCCTCATAGGATTGAGATGGATTGATATAAATGAGTGCACCAATGGGCTCAAAATAGTAAGACTGTGAGGCTGGCACAGGGACAGGCAGTGTTTCCTTCTGTTACACATCGAGATGCCACCAGTCAGAACCACCTTGCAGGCAGATAACAACAACTGTATAGTCTTCTTGTTCTGGGAGGATCATCTACCCTCTCAAATTTGGCCCAGCACTCTCTATTTTTATTTCTGCAGTGGCCAGAGGTACACTCCCTTTCTCAGGTCTGTGCTAATCTCTGGTTTATTTTGCACATATAGCGACCCTAGAGGATAAGGAAGAACTGTCCCTGTGAATTTCTGAGACTGAAACTGGTTATGGGAGTAGGCAGCCTCAGCATTCTCCTGCGGGGCAACTGGTGGTTTCAAACTGCTGACCTTGGGCATCGCAGCCCCCCTGCACAACCATTACACCGCCAGGGCTCCCACAGCCAGAGTAGCTTGCCCTAAACATTGCACTACCTGCAGCACACTGCCTAAATTCTTACCTTTCGCCCTTTCTCCTCTCCCTTGGCTTCTTTGGTTAGATCCATTCACCATTCTGGGTGGTGGTAGCTATTGTAGCCAAAAGCATGGACTGAGTCAAATAAGCAAGGGGATTAGCCTCCTTTTGCCCCTAAACTTGACAAGCTGCATGGCCTGACCAAGTTTCCTTTGGCTTCTGTGATGTTCCCCTTATTTAAAAAAAAAACAAAAAACCCGTGTTGATGGGTTGCTATGAGGGTCACTACCTGCAGAGCACTAGTAACTGTGCCCAGTAAGTGGTAGTTATTGTTAGAAATGCCACAATTCCTTCTGCCTTGGAGCATTGTACCTGGGCCTTCAGGCAGCAACCAGTTAAACGGTGGGTCAGTGGATTATTCCCACCGCACCGCTGAGAGCTAGACTGGGGCTGAGGCACAGCAAGGTCTGAGGATGGCAGACAGATTGACAGAGAGAGAAGGCACACCCTGCCTAAACACGGACTCTTGAAGACTCAAGGTACGAGCCCAGAAATGGGAGAGACTGAATCCTGTAGTTATCCAGTATTCTCTTCCCTCCTCAATCACACCCCAGGAGGGTGATTAATCACCCAAGGGTTAGGCTGGTGGCTTCTCCAGCAAGGCTGTGATTTCAAATCCACCTCGGTGGGGTGGCGCCTTCCCACCCTCCCTCGGTGGCCCAAGTGCGGAGGCCAGGAGGTACCCGAAGGAGGCTGTGCCCGTTATTCGAACCCTGTCTCAGGGTCGGTCGGTCCATCAGCTGGGCCGGGGAGAACAAGTGACCAAAGAGAAAAGAGTTCGGCGAGAAGCCGCCTCAGCACAGGCCTGGAGGTTCGCTTTGGCCACTTGTTAGAGGTCATCTCTGGTTTAAAGCGCTTGGCACCGAGTCAGACAGACTGTTTTGCTTTTACCGGCTCCGAGGCGCCCGGGTTGTGGTCGCGCCCGGTGGAGTCTCGGCTTTATTCTCAGCAATCGCGGGAGGGCAGCGCCTGATCTATGTGCCCGAGAAAGCGCCCCCACCTGGGAACCCGGACAGGGCGCGGGGCACCCAGCTTCGCGTCCGCGGCCCTGCGGCCGCTTGGCCTTCAATCGTCCACCTGGATCTCTTCATCAGACAGGTGTGGCCCCGGGGCCGGAGGGGCCGGGCGGGGGCCTGGGGCACCGTCGGGCAGCGCGAGGCGGCGCAGAATCCCGGGGGACAGCGCGCGCAAAGAGGCCATGTCGGCGCGCATCTCCTCCAAGTCGCGCTTGAGCTTTGCCCGCCGGTTCTGGAACCACGTGACGACCTGCGCGTTGGCCAGGCCCAGTCGCGCTGCCAGCCCGTCACGCTCAGACGGCGCCAGGTACTTCTGGAAGACAAAGCGCCGCTCCAGCTCCAGCACCTGCTGCGC